GGCATCATCTCCAGCAGCAGCTTCACCTTCTCTGGGGTCAGACTCCCGTGGACGTCAGTCCCGTAGAGCTGGAGCTGCTGACGCCGCGCGAGACATTCGTCGGCGATCCCACGCCAGCGGCGCGACACGAGACGGACGGACAACTGCTCCCTCCAGTCCAGCAGGCTCAGAATGTCCTGCAGTGTCTCCGGTGGAAGACCATCCAGGAACAGACTCGCCATTGACTGTTGGGATGCACCTTCCGTCATGAATGTCACTTCGTAGTGCCAAGCTCACCTGAAGTTTTCACCAATGGTACACACCCAGCTTGCTTCGCCAAAGCTTCTGGCTCAATTCTATGGACATACTCTCCGCCGCTGACTGCACGACTGTGAAGTGGCAGCGGCGGCAGCCCGGCCGGCGCGGCAGTGGCTCGGAGTGGCGCAATTCTGTAAACCCTCCCTCCGTCCGCCCCGGCCCCGGAGGCCGCCGCTGCGCCGCGCTGGGATTCCCGTTACGTCACTGTCGACTGATGACGACATAGGACTGAGGAGCGTTCTCTCGAATGAGCTGGAATAAGTCAATCGATATTTTATGGCAACGATACATAGGCGTAGGAACAGGGGGGGCCGGGGGGGCCATGGCCCCCCCACTTTCGGAGGTGGGGGGGCCAGCAATGTTAACTGGCCCCCCCACTTTTTGCTGACTTAAGTGTCTGTCTGTACCTAACCTACCACCCGGTAACTTGACAACTATTCAGCTTGCCCTTTAATGAGGATTCCTTTTTGTTTCTACAGCGTTATTGACCGCAATTTCCTTCACTCAAGGAAGGAAACCATATCAGAGACAAGACTGTGAGTCCTGGTGACAGCATTTTGTTGAATACGAGGCGCGGGACAGCGAGCACTAAAAAGGTATAGGCAATACTAAGACAATACTAGCACGGTGCAGGAGAATGCGTATACAAACGACCAACGCTTGACCTTATCTGCTTGGGGTCGGCATAGTTCGTCAAAGGCGTACTAGCTGGGGGCCAGGGTGACCGTGCCTCAGCCTCGGTGCAAACAGGCTGGGGGCCAGCAATGTCTGTTTCTGCCCCTCCCCCTTCCACTTTCAGTGCAGTGGCGGTCGCAGAGGGGGATCAGGGCCATGCCCTTCCCCCCTCCAAAGGCTAATCAGGGGGCCATCATATCATTTGGCCCCCCCCCAAACAATCAATGGGCCCCCATGGGCGTATGGGGCTCTGGCCCTTATTCGATTGTCACGAGACTCAAGGATCCCACGCTAGCCATTAACAGCTCCCAAACCAGTCTTTGAGGGTCCTACACTGATCTCGGAGGGCCCTTCAGTGGCGGTCAAGCGCCCACATTGACCGCTGAGAACCCACATTGACCTCATTTGAGGGCCCCTAAACCGGCCTCAAGGGCCCAGCCGGCGTCTGAGGGCCTCACACCGGCCTCTGGTGGCCTCATTTCTGTCTCTGGGGTCCCAAGACTAGCCTTTAGGTGCCTTTGAGGGCCCCGCACTGAATTCTGAAGACCCGATGCCGGCCTCTAGGGGTCCGCATCGGCCTCTGAGGGTCCACCTTGACCTGAGGGGTCCAACGCCGGCCCATGCCGGTCTTTTAGGGCCCCACACTGACCTCTAAGGGCCCATGCTGACCTGTAAGGACCCACATTAGCCTATGAGGCCTTGCACGGGATTCTGAAGACCTGATGCCGGCCTCTGAGGCCCATCTTGGTTTTTGAGGGCCTTCTGCTGGTCTCTGGGTTCCAACACCGGCCCATGCCGGTATTTAAGGGTCCCACATGACCTCTAAGGGCCCCGCACTGGATTCCGGAGATCCGATGCCGGTCTCCAAGGGTCCGCATCGGCCTCTGAGGGCCCACCTTGGCCTATGAGGGCCCTCCGCTGGTCTCTAGGTTCCAAGTCCCGCCCATGCCGGTCTGTTACGGCCCCACACTGACCTCTAAGGGCCCATGCTAGCCTGTAAGGACACGCATTAGTCTCTGAGGGCCTTGCACTGGATTCTGAAGACCCGATGCTGGCCTCTGAGGCCCATCTTGGTTTTTGAGGGTCTTCTGCTGGCCTCTGGGGTCCAACACCGGCCCATGCCGGCATTTTAGGGTCCCACACTGACCTCTGAGGGCCCATACTGGCCTGTAAGGACCCACATTAGCCTCTGATGGCCCAAGTCGGCATCTTAAGGTCTCATCCTGCCCTTTGCAGGCCCTGTACTGGTCTCTGAGGGCCTTAACCCTCGCCGGCCGGGGGGGGGGGCGGGTGCCGCCCCTCCATAGGTTTTTTTCGCGATAGCTCCGAACACGCCGGCGATAGAGAGCTGAAGCTTGGCATACCTGACCTTTGAATCAAACGGGATCTTTTGACACCAACCGCATTTTCGGGTCAGATCAGGTCACTGACCCATGTGGTCATAAGTGAACCTCTGCACGGTCTTCAGATGTCGCAACTTCGCAACGCCCTCACTGCCAGAGGAGATTTCACAGGGAAATGAACCTTGGAGGACCTAGTATCCAATAGGAGTCTCTCAACTTGTATAATGTATATCTCGGATTTTTCCTAAAGTTCATATGAGGTCAGGTCATTTTCGTGACCTCACCATTAGGTATAAGTCAATGGGGATAAACTGAAAACTTTTTCTGGCGCCGGGAACGATCGATCTCCAACTATCTCAAGCACACCGAATCGTGATTTCATGCACTCCTTGCAAGGCTCGATGCGTCACTTTTGCAATGTTGACCTTGCGCGACGTCATTTATGAAGTTATAACTTATAAGGGTCTTATTAGTTTTTCGTCAATAACTAGGTACCGATCAAATTGAGCTAGCGAGTCGGGAAAGCCACCTATGGACTCAAGAAGACCTGCCGAATCGAATGATATGCGACATGACCTCCTTCGACCAATTTCGTGACCTGGGGACGCCGACCTGACCGTGACCCGAGGTCAACACCCTAAGTTTACCTCACCCAAACAAAAAGTATATCATTCGACGCGCCTGAGAGAGGCGAGCACGATGCTGGCAAAATCGCGGCTCTACGACCATTTTTTTGCGAAGTTATTCACCAAAAACGGAACCGTGCCTTGAGGCACTTGACCTGACCTCAGAGGTCACCGGTTTTTGTTTGTTTTGTTGGGTTAGGCCCTTTCGGTCCAATGAGACCATTTCAGAGCCGGAAGGATGATAGGATATAGGGGGAGACATTGGTCTGGGCAGGCACCCTAGTGAGTCGCCGGGGCTGAGCCCGTCCAGAGGACAGGCCACCCAGCCCCAAGGCACTCACTCCACCCGGCTACGGGGTGCGCTCCCTCGGGAGCAGCGGTGCCGCTCCAAGGGAGCAGCCCGCATGAGATAAAGTTGCCTGTCCAGCCCCCAGGGGGTTGCGGTGTGGAGGAGAAGGATTTCAGTATCCTGAGGATAGAAGCACGGAACGGTGTCAGAGGTCACCGGTTGACCTAGGACCATAAAATCGGGTATCGATCTCTGCGTCTCGTAACGGCGCACACGCTCGTTTTACCGCGACGCGCTAGCTCCACCTGGGGCGAAACGGCGAGGGGGGTCGTACCCGCCCCCCGCCCCCTCGGCCAGCGCGTATGTAGAAAACCTATAGGACCGGGCCGTGGAGGGTTAAACTGGCCTCTGAAGGCCCAGACCGTCTAAAAGTCCCACACCGGCCTCTGATAAGTGATAGTCAATCAGCCCAGTTGCAGTGGTCGCTGATATAAAACCTCTTAAAAACGTTATAGGCCTGGCTGAGCCTAGCTGGGCCGTTCATGCTGATTTTTATAGGTATATTGAAAAGACTCGCTTTGCACGTTTCACGCTTGCTCGTAATGAAAAAAGTTGCTGGATGCCTCTGGAATTTGCATGGGTGCCAACGGCTGCGGAGGACAGGGGAACGCGTCCATCAGTTTGAGTTTATGGACGGGAGACTCCCTGAAATTTCAACCAATTTTTTTCTTTTTTTGTCTCGATTTTTTTACCTCTGAGCATGTTTGCGAAAACAAAGTGGCCGAAATCCGAGGAGAAATCGGATTTTGGGGGTAGGTTAGGTTTTGGACCTCTGGGACCCTGGCCCCCCCCACTTTTGAAAACGTTCCTACGCCTATGCAACGATAAGCCATGTCATTTTCACCTCCCATATCACATGGCCGGCCATTGCCTTAGCAATGCGACACCGCGGCCATCTCTTCATTGGCATTTGGAGTGATGGGGTGGAAGTGCTATTCTTTGATGCAGGTGCGAAAATTCTGAACATAGGCAAAATGGCTATCCCTGGCCTAAAAATCCCATTGTAAAGCACAGTGGCGCGGGAACTTCTTCCAGACTGGGGGGGCTGAACCATAATAGAAATCAACCTAGGGTACCCCCAAATCTAGTTTTCTCACCGGTTTTAGGCCACTTATTTTTCAGACCTTGGCCTTTTCAACAACAAAAAAAAACGAAAATATTTTCAAAAAGTGAGGTATTCCGTCTCAGCTGAGTGAAGAAACTATCGTTTTGGCAACCTGGAGTAAAGGTTTTAATCTGCCAAATGAGTTGCCGAGCCAGTGAAATAGGTGGATTTTTCACTTACATGCTTTCTTCCTTTGTGACCCACAACCCCTAATTTGGGGAGGACAAGCTGCCCGACGGTTCCTGGCCTCATGAAACGTTGTGGGGCACCGCCCCCACGGCCGCAGAGTTGTGGGGGCAAGCTTCCCCCACTGCCCCCTCCCCCGGTTCCCACGCCTATGTATGAATCTATGAAATTATGTTAGTAGATTTCCGATTTCGATTCCTCCAGCTGGGGGGGCTCAAATACATTACGAGCCCCCCAGCCGAAAAGCTGGGGGGGCTCAGCCCCCCCTAGCCCCCCCGGTTCCCGCGCCACTGGTAAAGCATATTTGAAAATCGGACCATTTTATATTTAGCGTTAAAAATGCGTTGCGGTCAGCCCAAAATGTCCATTGCCGTCTCATTTATGCAAACCACGAATACTCATCTCATCTCAAACTCAACTCATCTTTAACTCTTTTTATATACAAACAGACAAGTTGTAGACTTGAATTGTAGGCTTGTACAAACAGACAAGAGACAGAAAAGAGGACTTAGCTTTATATCCCCAACAAAGCACTCAAAAGAGTACGTCATGGCATCGGAAAACCTTGCATTAACGAAGAATACCGCTGTACTACCGACGAATAAAAACCCTATTTGCTTAAATGTATGTTACAACTTACAACTCTTATCATATCGTCGGTGTGCCTGTTCCCCGCCGATGTTTTGTCTAGCCACAGAGCGAGGCGTCGGCGGTGGTGCTCTCGATCCATGTGAGCGCCGACGTGACGCGGCTGTAGACGCTCGGGTAGCCCCGGAGGCCGCACGGCACGTATCCGAACGACGTGGCGCCGACCAGCGTGAAGCGTCCTGCGAGCTCTGCCACCAGCGGGCCGCCGCTGTCGCCGCTGCAGGTGGCCTGGCCGGCCACTCCGCCGGCGCACACCATCGAGGTGGTGTCCAGGGTGGCCAGGTGGCCGGCGCACTGTCCGGGGCTCCAGATGGGCAGCTGCACCTCCCGCAGGACCAGGGACTGACTCTCGTTGGAGGCGGTTCGCCCGAACCCGGTGGCCGTGGCGTTCATGCCTGCGAACGTCTCGTCGGCCGGCGGCAGGCAGACGGGGCTCATCTCGGCGCTGATGGGCACGGCAGAGGCCAGACGCAGGAGGGCAAAGTCGTCGCCGCCCGTGAAGCTCGTGTAGTTGGGGTGCACGGTGATGCGCTCCACGGAGAAGCGCAGTTCACCGGCATCCGGCTGGCCGATCCAGTGATCGCCGAGCAGCACCTCGATCCGGTGCGGCTCGGCCGAGGCCACGCAGTGGGCTGCCGTCAGCACATAGCGGCTATTGATGAGGCTGCCACCGCACCAGGTGCGGTTCGACCCGGTGTACACGACGCCCGCCTGCCACGGGTACTCATGCTCCTCCGTCGGCACACCGCCGACAATGCGGGAGTGGCGCAGGGCGCGGCCGCAGCAGGACAGCGCCGGCACCTCAATGTAGCAGAGGTAGCCGGTGTGCCGGACAATGTGGTCCGAGTGAAACTCGATGGAGAGCGAGAGCGCGCGCCGCTCGCTGACGCTGCCGGCGCCGCAGAACCGGGTGCCGTTGATGGAGAGCCAGTCGTAGGCGCACTCCGAGTGCGGCTCGATGTCCAGATGCGGACAGTAGATGCGCAGCTGCTGGCCATCAGCACCGGTGAACGTCGGGTACGTGAAGTCGAAGCTGTTCGGATAGAGCTGCGGATAGTTGGTGGACTGGATGTAATACCGGCCGGCGGCCAGCGGCACGGTCTCATAGTTCTCCGTCTGAACTTCAGCGGAGAGCGGCAGAGGCTGGGCGTCGAGGGGTGCCATGGATGCACCGTTGGTGGTCCTTGGTTTGTACGGCTCTAAGTGAGGCTCGTCGCCGGCAGGCTGAGCCTTTTTCCCCGCAGGGGAGCCGGCGGCAGCCACGACAAAACTCACCAGGAGGCAGCACGTTACCACGGAGAAGCTCATGATGAGACTGCGTGTGGCTGGGTGTGACTAGCGATCCTCTCCGTCCACATTTATACCCGGGACGGAATTGGTCCCCGGCAATCACGCCCGTGACGAGGGTGACCTGTCCGCCTGGCAGTGGCGCTGGGTACACCAGGCACAAGTGGTGACACTGCAGGTCATCTGGTCAACTTCTGACGGTGGAATCGGCACGGCTCACCAATAGAGAATCACAGCGGACAGTCATAGCGCTAGGCTGCCGCGCAGTGTGTCTGATGTGCCCAAATTGAAATATGGAATTTGCCTTGAGAGATGAAATTCATCCTGATCAGGCAGGTAGTTTGGTCTAAAATGAACACATGTTGGGATCGAAGAGAACGAGAGTAGAAATGTTACTGGGACAAGGCCGACTGACACACCAATCACTATTAGCCCGCGACAACTGTGCCTGAGCCGGAAATGTTACGGGTTTCCCGAAGGGCGCTGCTTATTGCGTTTTAATTTTAGTCACTGAATTGCTCATTTTAACACGTATGTAGGTACAACTGATTGTAGCGCGAACCGCACTCCTCACTGTGCCATGGCTAGGGGCATGTGATTCTTTCGAACTTATATTCTTGAAATGCGCCAATCGAGGTTACCTACATTAATGGTTTTCTGTACAATAAATGTGTTAAGTGTTAGATCAGAGGGCATGTGGTGAGATGAAATGATTAAAACCATTAAAATGTAAGCTACATACTTATTGCTTATATTATAACCCTAAAAACGTTCATTAAACATTATCAATGAAATCAATTTTATGATATAAACGTGCACTGAATTCATATTATAATGCAGCTCGCCAGCTATATGTGGAAGGCCTAATGTCAATATATACCATGTGATTGTGCATTGTGCATGCACAACACCATGTAAGCACTAAACATCCAGCGCTTGAAGGCAATAAAAAAGTGGCATATACATAAACGGCATAGCATCCACTAAACCTATCTCATTTTATGCCGCAGCGCTGGTGGGTAAATGCCGTCTTATCAATAGGTCATCTCTTGACATTACGCTTATACAAACAAAGCCCATGGCATCAGATTGCCGGCGGCAGATGCTAAGATCAGCGAGACAAACGGCACCGTTTGCGATGACCGGTGCCGCGTGGGCCGCTGATGTGCCGACAATTAGTGCGCGCCGGTCGCCGGCGGCGGTGCGGCTGACAGACGGCATTAGTGGCGCAGATGAATCGGCCGGTCTGATCAGCTGCCGCAGACGCGGCGCACGTTCATGCAACGGTGGTTGCTGTGGGCGGTGGTGCCCGGAAACGGGACCGGTCACGAGGGGGGAGGGGGGGTATAGGGATTAAGGAAATGGACGCCGGGGCTGACCTGTGGAGCGATTCGTGTTTCTCCTCAGACGGCATTCTACCCGCTAAGTTTTTTACTGATCAGCCATGCATTACCTGAGCCGCACTGCCATGGGTGATGGGATAATTATTTACGGGAATAGATCCCTCGGTTACGCGCTGACCACTTGATCAGGAATCACCTACATTAACAATAAATTAAACACGTAGAGTAGAGTAATATCTTTTTTACTTGCTTCTTAATTGTTGAATGTTGAGCCAATAGGACTCAATTATTCATTATTGGGCCTCCAATACAGATCGTCATTGATTTTTTTTTTTCGTAAGGCCGCCTATCTGTGCCCGAACAGTCTATCAGCTCTGGCGGCACATAAATTGGACCCTGCAGCGCCGGGAGTGTTTGTTGGAAATGACTATCTTTCCTTTGCTATATGTCGTTACCATAAAGGCATAAAGCGAGGGTTTTCCATTGCACACCTACTCAGATATGAATTTTGACAGGCGTATCATATGCCATACTATACGAGGAATGCGCTGTAACATCGAATAAAAGGCATGTTATCGAAAATCATCGATAGGGCGAGCATCATCGATACACTTCATTAGGTTTACAAAGGAGCAATGATCATTTATAGACCAATAATGTTATGAAGCTCTAAACTCGTTTGTTTCTATATACCGTATCGGTGTTTGCAACTGACCGGTTAAGCCTTTACAAAAGTGCTTCTGCTAATTGTGTATTGTAAAGCTTGCTTTGTTCAAGCACCACTGTGAGCTGAATTCTCAGAATTCGTTTTAATTTCGGATGACTCTGTACCTATATATAAGCCCTGAATTATGTTCAGGCCACCTTGTCGTTTCTCGACAATCTCTGAGGGATAGGTATGCTTGTGGGTTGTATTGGAGCTCGTCGTCGCAATGGAGTTGTCTGGTTAGGATGACTATATCAGCCCAGGACAGGGAGGTGAGATCAATGATGAAGGTTGTCAGTTCAAGTTCTGACTAAAGAATACAGACAGGGGCCCGGGAACGATTTTCAAGTTGGGGGGGCGAGCCTAAAATACCTGACATGATAGATATGAAACAATGGCGTAGCTAGGGGTCTAAGGGGACACATACCCCCCCCCCCCCACCCCCGTTGGGTTCAAAGGGACCCTCGGGTCCGAGAGGCCCTGCGGCGCCATTTGGCCGCTGAGGGTTAACGATGGCCATATTTCTACTCAGAAGGGCCCCATGGGGCTCGTTAGAGCACCTCATGGGTCCTAAATAGCCACACTAAGATCTCCATAAGGTCCCCACGCCGACTCCTGAGGGCCTCTTGCGGCTTTTAAGGGCGCCTCGGTGGTCTCCAAAGGCCCGTTATTGGCCTCTGAGAGTTCTTACCGGCCTATGAGGGGCTAGTTCTAGGAGCGTTTCCCGCCTGTGATGGTCCCACACTTATTTTTCTGAGGGCCCCATAACGGCAAATGTGGGGCCCTCCGGCGCCTATGAGGGCCCACACCGGTGCCTCTGAGGGTTTCACACCCCCAACTCTGAGTGCCCACACCAGTGCCTATTAAAGCCCTATATCGGCGGCTGTGACTTTTGAGGGCCCCACACCAGTAACTCTGAGGGCCCCACCGGCGTCTGACAGTACCATGCCGGTCTCTAAGGACCCCACAGGACTTTTTCTGCCGGCCTAAGGACCCCTTGCCGGTCACTGAGACCCCCTGCCGGCTTGTAGAGAGTTCGCGTTAGCAGCTCTAAAGGCCCCTCACCCGTCTGTAACGGCTCCACCAGCGTCTATGAGGGCCCACAGCTACGCCTGTAAGGACCCTCATCGGCGCCTCTGAGAGAATCACACTAGCACCTCTGAGCGCCTACACCGGCACCTGCATGACGGCCCCACACCGGTGCCTCAAAGGCCCCTTACCGGCGGCTCTGAGGGCCCTACGCCGGTGACTCTGAGGGTGCTACCGATAACCGAAGGCACCACACAAGCCCTTAGTGTCGCTGAGCTTTCATCCCATACACGCCCTCCGAGGGCGCCACGTCAGTGCACTCATCGCCCCACACCCCTCCCTCACACCCGGAGAGGGTTAACTGTGTTATACCTACCTATAGCAACGATTTTACCACCGTTGTGCGTTATGTATTTCTCAAAGTTGACTCAAAATGGTCCAGTATAAAATCTGGCCTGCCAAACTTATGGCCAAAATCAGGTCCAAATCAAAGCGGGATGACAATAGCAGATGTTGTCAAATCGATACTGTATCAGCAGAAACCATACAGATGGCAAGGAAAATGCCGTGTGTTGATGTTTAGATGTGTAAAGAAACAAGAAGGAAAGAAGTCCGGAAAAGGGAGGCAAAGATCTTTTCTCGCTACCTCAATGTTGAGGGGGCGCCGCCCCCTCGGCTCCCAAGTTGGGGGGGCAAGCGCCCCCGCTGCCCCCCCTGTTCCCGGGTCTATGAATACAGACGCCTCCATCCTTCATTCATTACGGAGCGAGCGAAGCGAGCGTATTCTTATTACGGAGCGAGCGAAGCGAGCGTAGTCTTTCCTTAGATTAACGGAAATTTCTGAGTATGAGCGGCCGGCCGGCCGGCCGGCCGTGGTCACGCTTTTGCGAGGCTTATATCTCAGCAACCACTTGACCGATTTACACGCGGTAATTTTTGTAGGGTAGCTTCATTCCTTTTACCAAGTATTGGACTATTCCCGATGCATGTGGGTGACCCCTTATGCACGTGCCACGTGCAAAACGAAGAGGTGTCAATTTTGTAATTGTTGCAATATCTCGGTAACTACTTGGCCGATTGCGCTGAAAGTTGGCATGTAGGTAGGCACCCACTAGGCACTGCATATACATGTGCCAGAGTTGGGGTGCTGCTGCACGTGCGCACGTGCAGGGGTCGTTTCCAGATCTCGGGAACGGCTGGACCGATTGCGCTCAAATTTGGTACACGGTTAGGGACCGGTTAGTAGGGTGCCGTGCACAAGTCAGTTGGGACCCATTTTGCACGTGCGCACGTGCAGGGTGCCGCTTCCAGATCTCGAGAACGGCTGGGCCGATTGTGCTCAAAATTGGCACATCGCTAGAGACCAGTTAGTAGGGTGCCGTGCACAAGTCAGTTGGAGGTACCCCCTCGCAATTTCGCACGTGCAAGGCCCACCCTCTCGCTCGCTCCGTTAGTCGCCCCAAAAGGCGTTATACTGGTATCTCAGTCATCCGTTAATCTAAGCCTCCTTAGATTAACGGAAATTTCGGAGTATGAGCGGCCGGCCGGCCGGCCGTGGTCACGCTTTTGCGAGGCTTATATCTCAGCAACCACTTGACCGATTTACACGCGGTAATTTTTGTAGGGTAGCTTCATTCCTTCTACCAAGTATTGGACTATTCCCGATGCATGTGGGTGACACCTTATGCACGTGCCACGTGCAAAACGAAGAGGTGTCACTTTTTTAATTGTTGCAATATCTCCGTAACTACTTGGCCTATTGCGCTGAAAGTTGGCATGTAGGTAGGCACCCGCTAGGCAATGCATATCCATGTGCCAGAGTTGGGGTGCTGCTGCACGTGCGCACGTGCAGGGGTCGATTCCAGATCTCGAGAACGGCTGGACCGATGGCGCTCAAATTTGGTACATGGTTAGGGACCGGTTAGTAGGGTGCCGTGCAAAAGTCAGTTGGGACACATTTTGCACGTGCGCACGTGCAAGGTGCCGCTTCCAGATCTCGAGAACGGCTGGGCCGATTGTGCTCAAATTCGGCACATCGCTAGAGACCGGTTAGTAAGGTGCCGTGCACAAGTCAACTGGAGGTACCCCCTCGAAATTTCGCACGTGCAAGGCTCACCCTCTCGCTCGCTCCGTTAGTCGCCCCAAAGGCGTTATACTGGTGTTCTACTTGCATAGAACCTAACACGCAGTGAATCTTCTTATAGGTACCCCGCTTTCAAAGACCAGCCTCCCAGCGTTAGTGGCACATTGGATCTCCCCATGTCACCGCCAGTGGCGCCCCTGATCTTTGCCCCTGCGGGCCCTGCGTATAAGTGGCGCCCTGATGGCCTCCGATACCCCATTCCGTCAGTGGCGGAAAGGGGTACGCTGTGTCCCCCGCTGGGCGCCGTACTCCACCAATACCCCTTCAATTCGGTGGCGCCTTCCTGCCTCCCGGCCTACCATACCCCTCCTTCAGTGGTGCCCTCCCGGCCTATCATACCCTCTCCTTCAGTGGTGCCCTCCTGGCTTACCATACCACTCATTCAGTGGCGCCCTCCCTTACTTACCATACCCCCTCCGCCAGTGGCGCCCCCTGTCCCCCGCGGAGGTCGGACCGGGCTCCGCTCCTCCGATATCCTCCGCCAGTGGCGCCCCCTGTCCCCGCGGAGGTCGGACCGGGCTGCGCTCGCCTCGTCTGCTCAGTCGGCGAGATGGGGCGCCCGTGGTGTCGTGAGTGGCGGACCGGCCGACGCCGACCCCCGCCGCTGCCGCTGCCGCTGACCTCCCCGCGTCTGCTCGTCTGCTGTGGGATCGTCCTCATCATCGCAGCCTCAGGTGAGCCGAAGGACAGACAGTTGCAAACACACCTGACTTTACAATGTGTCTTCCTTTTCTTACGGAGCAGAGATAGGGGAGAGTGGGGCAAGATTCCCCCTCGGGTAAGACGCCCAGTACCCTCTAGCGTTAAAAGAAGCAACGTTGAGGCGTTCATCATGGTCCCCGAAGAAGAAGTAAAGATTGGTTACTTATAAAAAAAAAAAAATGGCGCGTCTCCAGTGAAATTTGCGACACGGATGGGCAAAAACGTATTTTTACTAGTATTGTACTTTTGTTTGATCTCATTAAATGCAACAATTATTCGTATAGTTATTGAGTATCCTATTTCTTTGTTTTTGTATGTGCATCTGCAACATTTCCCTTTTACTCGTAACTGATGCCACAATGCATTTCAAGCAGCTATTTTTTGGGCACATCATTTATGCTAGTGCGCACAAACGTATAAGACGCCCAGGTGGTTGCGGCAGTAGCGGCGGAACACTGGGGGGGGGGGGGGGCGGGGGGGGGGGCACTGCCGACTTATGGTCCCATTCTTTCCATGCAACGCCCATAGGGCTAATGTTAAAATGCCAAAATCAAAGGGGGCGGGGGGGGGGCACAGTGCCCCGGTGCGGGTACCCTCCCCGTTCCGCCGCCTGTGGGTTGCGGGGAAAGTCAGCTCATAAGGTCGAACCGTCGAAGTGATTAACCCGCGCCCCGCTGGGGGGGGGGGGGCAGAATCTGTCCCCCTCCCGTTTTTCGCCAATAACTTCTAAACGCGTTATGCCAGCGACGTGAAACTTCCAGTACGTTAGCATTCATCAATTTGACACATTCCCTGAAAATTTGAGCGAAATCCGTCGGATTTTTTTTTGAGAAATTGACGTTTTAGTGACGTCATGTTCGCCATTTTCGCTAAAAAAAATCGGCAAAATTTCAAACGCCGCTAACATCTTCATTTTTAAAGGAATCAAGACGTAACAAAAAAGGTTATACGTGATTCTACTTTGTCTATGAAATGGTCATCTCGGTTTTTTGAAAATTTTGGATTTTTCCCCATTTTTTTCTAAAAAAAACTGACTTTTTTGGGAAAATAATTATAAAATCCAAAATTTTGAGTGTATCGGAAAAACCGGAATATATGTCAGAGAAGTGGTCTATGTGCACCTACACACCAATTTTTAGAAGAATCGGTTCGAAAATGTGGGAGTTATTCAAAATTGTATGACGTCACGACACACACAATTTTTGAAAAAAAAATGATTTTTTAAAGTTCTAGACCTTGTACGGAAACAAAAATAGCACCATTCGATTCGCCGTGGAAAACTGCATCAGATAGACAGCTTTTTAGGCCTTAACAACCAACTTCAAAATTTGACCTCACTTGACCTGAACTTGACCTGACCTCGACCTGAAATTCATCCAGAGGTGGTCCATATCACTTATTAAGTGTGCCTATTGAATTCTATGAGTAAAATGACCCATAAAACATGTGTCGCACATGCCCTTTTCTATATTTTGTTTTTGGTGACCTGACCTGACCTGACCTGACCTTGACCTTGACCTTTGAATGACATTGTATGCAACGAATATTGTCTTGCTAGTCTAAGAACACGTTTTGGGCAATAAGTCTCAGTCCATTCTTTGGCAACTACGGTGCAAGGCCGATACTGTAGAAACTTGCATTTTGTACCCTTGACCTGACCTTGACCTGACCTCTGACCTACTTAAGCAAAAAAAAATATGGGCTCTTAAGATCCGCCTTGTTGAGAGCTTTCGATTGCCGTTTTCCCCGTCTTTCTACGACCATCGGTTCGGAAGTTAGACAGGGGGGCAGAATCTGCCCCCCCCCCCCAGCAGGGCGCGTATGGCTGAATAGCTCAGCGGGGCGCGGGTTAAGTGTTCATTTGGAAAAATATGAGATATAGGTATGTACCTGCAAGTTTTGAATACTTGGAACTTGGAAGTTTGCAATATCCTCGAAGTTTCATCACTCTGCGAAAGATTCCTTCGCGCTGAGAGCGTTTCGATATTTTTGGACCAAGCAGAGGCTCGCTTGCAGAGTGATCATCCTAAGGAAGTATCACAAATCAGTAACATGAACCGACCTGAATGAAAGGACTTTGGTGTCAAAAGATTCTCATTGAAGCAAAGGTCAGTTATGCCAATTGTTATCTCTATTCAAAGCAATCATGAGCCGTTGTAGTTTTGTGCATCTTTTTCGGTTCCACAGGGTGGGCGTCTTACCCACCCACGTGGTAAGATGCCCGAAATGACTTGCTCGAGGAAATGGCGTTTTTATAATCCTAACAACCGTATTCTGTGGCGATTATGGGTAGCTGAACAGTTGGCAAAATGATTACACTTAAATGAAATCGCTTTTTTAGCGACAAAACTTCCTCAAGTTTGCCAGCTAGAGCATTTTTAGCTTAACGGGAGGGGGGGGGGCGACTTGCCCCACTCTCTGCTACCTACATGATTTTACTATTAGTGATGCCTCAATGCATTGTTATTAGAGCATTCCTGATAGCCTGTTCGCATCCTTTTTGGCTCATTAAGCATCTGCAGTCCGCTTAGCGCCCATTACCTCCAAATCTAAACGGCAAGACCCTGGATAATCTGATGTTATAGCGTCTGTGAATTTTAATTACAATGAAATTACAAAGGTATAATAATATTCATATGTAAATAAATATTCGTCTGACTGACCATATCGTAGATGAAGCAGAGATCTTTCACATCGCTAAGTGTCCACGATTTTTAACGATGCTGTTAATTGCTACTAAAAACGATAGGCATTTAGATACCATCTAACTTCTGGTCATTTAAGAGTAGGCTTGTAATCCGTTTATTCGTGTCACGATGTCAATAAAATGTAATATTTTGTATTTAACATCATTTATCTACCTAAAGATGGCGTCATGATGCGCCTCTGCTGCATCTGAGATGAAATGGTTTGTCAATATACTGACAATAAAAAAGCCAAATATACGAAGACAGAAAGCTGTAAAAACTATAAAAATGTAGTAAAAAACTGGGAAGAGAGAGAGAGAGAAGAGAGAGAGAAGAGAGAGAGAGAGAGAGAGAGAGAGAGAGAGAGAGAGAGAGAGAGAGAGAGAGGGAGAGAGAGAGAGAGAGGGAGGGAGGAAGGAAAATTCGAGAGAGAGAGTCGAGAGATTTTGCAATTTGGAGACACATTTGTGGAGTAAGCATGACTCCACCGCAGCATCCAGGACCAATTTGTTGCATCAGTCAATGGAAAGGCAATGGGCCTTTCTTGTATCTGTGCGACATGGTTGAAAATACATATGTGAAATGTTCACGGTGTCGTTTTGTTGAAACATTTCTTGATCCTGTACCCGGGCTGTACGCCACAGTGGAAAATTTATATACTGTGCGCTTTGCTTGGACAATGGCATGACTCGATTCCTTGCGCGTCACGATTGGACATGGCTCAATTCGGCTCGAATTAGTCTCACTTTCGAGCACTTTTGGACACTGCGATAAGGCCATACGTCTCGATTCTATGCGCGACAGTAAGACATACCTGTCGTCTATTCTGTGCGCCACGGATGACATGTCTCTATTCTGTGCGTCACGGTTGGACAATGGACATGTCTCAATTGTGTGCGCTACGAGTGGGCATGTCTCTCTTCCGTTCGCCACGGTGGGACACGTCTCAATTCTCTCCACTACGATGGGACGGACGGTGTTTACGTTCTCCCACTCAGAGACCGTAGGTCTTCTCTGGTTACGTCTGCTACACGCCTCTGGCCTGTCAGCAGGCGGCTGTGATCTAATGCTGTTGTGCAGACGCGACGGTGTGTGGGCGATCCAGCTGCGACAAATCGAATGTGATCAACTGAGACCTGGGAGCTTGAGCGCATGGTTGTTTTGCTCATCAGGGTACCGCATATACCCTGTTCTGGAAGTATCTTTGTTCATCAAGAACTTCACGGGAAGCTGTCTGATGATATTTACATGTATATCTACCCAAATTATTAAAAAAAAACATCCAGTCTCACTATAGGCACTAGGCAGCACTGTGAAACGAAAGCTTAGCTCAGATGAGAAGAATCATGTTGGGTACCTTGTACCTGATACAATTCAGCATTTTATGTTGATGATATTCATGTAAAAAAGCATCGAAGGTTATGGAGGGAAAACTACCGTAACGCACTCCCGATTTTTCTGAAAGTGTGGTAGGTCGAGTGAGTTCATGATAAGTTTGTCGTTCGATTATGTGCCCGTGATTCGGCGCCGCCAAACGTGGGCCGGTCTAATCACGGCCATGACGCTATTTGCTCTCTCCCACCGATACAGAGAGCTCTGTTCGGCGATAGAGCGCAGTAGCGCTGATAACATTCACTGGGAGAGTGCAGACGTCGCCGGTCGGTCGGGTGACCTCTGGACTCGCTACCGCGACCGCGTCCTCGCGACGTCATATCGTCAGCCCTCTGTCACCAGAGTGGATCCCGAGAAATGCCAGTGGAGAGGCCTGCACTCAGAAGTCGGAACTGAAGGCGTTACGTGCACTCTGACAGTTTATTTGTAGCCAACTTGAACGTTTTCTGGGGCTCGGGTTGTCAACAAGCACTTGCAACTTCATGATAAGAAACATGTCTGATTACAACGATATAAGTATTAAGTAGGCTGGTCGGATGTCTTTTTTGTGGCTGCTTCGCATGCACAATAAGGCGGGAACAGCGCGCAGCATCAGCGGAATGCACTTCTATCAGACCATAAAAGATACCGAACGTGGAATACAGAGATCAATTGAGCTAATAAACAAGCATCAGATAGCGACAAAAGAGGAGTTTGAACATTGCCAACATCGAACATTTTACTATGTCGCTCAGATTCCGAGCATTGCTTAGTGCTGACTGAAGTGATTTCCTGCACTAAATGTAGGCCACATGTATGGTTTATTACAGTGACTTTTGTTATAATCCCGGACCTTCATGATAGTCGATAGTCTTGAAACCATGATCGGTTATCATTTATTTTCCTCCCAATGC